TGCCGCGGCGGTGGGCGGCCTGCGCCCCGGGGCTGCAGCCAGTCCAGCTGCAGTAAATAATGCAGGTAGATGTAGGGCAGTGCCAGACCCGTGGGGCAGCACCACTAGTGCTGGAGGGTCGGGAGGGGTTTTTTAGCTGCTTGGACCCCCCGTAGCCATCACAGGGTAAACCCAATTCCTCTTCCCCCACTCAGCCTGCCTGTGGTTCCTGCAGCGTAACTTGCATTTAGCAGACTATTTACTCCTGATTTGTAACCTCTTTGGTGAGGGGGAGCAAAGGGAAACATGTATTGGGTTTGTTCCTATAGTAACTGTGGTTGCCCAAAAGCTCAAATGTAGGGGGAAAAGTAAAAAAGGGAAATTGTGCATTTCTAACCAGAACATCTCAGTAGGGCAAGAAGGCTGGACAAGGGCGGGTGAAGGTGGGACCTGAGCTCCTTATGGCAGCTCCCGCACAGGTTATTAGGAGAATGGGGCTGAGACCTGTCTTACAGCTGTACTGCTTTAGGGAGCCAAGACACTGACATTACTGCAGGGTGACTCACCAAAGCCAGGAGCGTTTCGCAGAATTTGCCGTGAAATGACAGGACTTGATGTGGCTGCTGCAATGCCAGGACGGAGGTGCCCTCACGCTGTTTGAAGGCTGCCAGGAGCTGTGTGCTGGAGGAGAAGGCACCCATCATGGGTCCCCTCACCGCCCCTGGCCACACCGTGCCCCTGGCTGGGTTGGCACATGTCCCCACCGGTACAGGGACCACCTCACTGCCAGTACTATCCCGTTGGCAGAGGTGGAAATGCCACCTGCAATGAGGACAGAAACAGCAACAGTGCAGCAATCGCATACCCATACCCAAGGGCAAGCTGTTTTGCCATAAATTAACACTTTTCCCAGTTTTAGATGCTGATGCAGTTTGCACCTTCGGCCAGAATATTAAATAGCAAAACTGCTTCCACCCCGGCCAGGTGATGGCAGGGGGACAGGCTGCTGTGCTGGCCTCCCCATTCATTGCCCCTCTGCACTGCGCCAGCCCCCGGGGAAAATGCTGCCCACCAGGCACTCCTACAGTCTCTGGCACCCCAAAGCATCATCCCACAGCGTGAGGTGGGTTTGAGTAGCAGCTCCAAATGACCCAGTTTTGTTGCAAAAGAGGCTAAATCAAAGACATGGCCGCTGCAGGGAAAAGCCGGTGGGGCTGCTGGAGGTGAGCTGGGCTAGGGGGTGGGAGCAGCCTGCCGTGTTGGCAGAGGCTGGCTGCAATGAAACCTTTGCAGCAGCGGGTTCCCTGCTGTGGAGCATCATTGGCAAAATACCTTCTAATTGCCAAGCTTGCAGGGGAGGGCGCCCTCACGAGATATGTTTCAGCTCTCAGTGGAGGCACTGACACACGTCGCAGGCATCTAATGGCACTTGTATTAGTGATGTAGTCCTCCATGCATGTAATACATTTACTATTATCACCACAGCCCGAATACTAATAACCCCTGGGACCAGGTGACGGGTGAACCATGGGCTCAAGACTTAACAGTCAATTTAAGCAGCAGAAGGTAGAAGGGAAGGGGTGGGAGAAGCCGCCCATGACGGGGCCCCACTTCTCACTTCAAGAGGGGGAAGTTGTGGGGAGGTGTGGCGGGGACGGTGGTGGGGGACCACCTCGCTGACAGCCCTGTGTGTCCTTTCAGACGAGCGCCGTGCTGTGTGCGGGCGGCTGTGCCCTGCTGGCCCTCAGCTCGCTGCTGGCCATCGTCGCCATCCTGCTGCCTGGCGGAGCCTGCGAGAGGCGAGTCTGCACCCTGGCTGGCTACATGCAGACAGCGGCAGGCAAGTGACAGGGACTTTGCTCTTTGGGGTGGAAAGATGGGGTTTCCCCAGGGTGCTGCTTGGCCACAGCATCCTGGATCTCAGCAACAAGAGGCACTTGCAAACCCTAACCAACGCTGGGAGAAAAGAGAGCAGCCCTCTGCTTTAGCAATTGCCTCCTGTATCCATGCTTATAAAATCTATTAAAAATCCCCTCTGCCCAAATACGCAGGTCTGTGGCAGAGAGCCTGGGCTGCAGGTCCCGCTCACTGCCCCCTGCTCAGGCTCGTGTAGGGCAGGGGGCCGTGGCAAACAGTGGAGACCAGGCTGCCTGCTGGCAGGGTGCTGCTGCACCTCCTGGGTTCTAGTAGGTGCCTCCTGTGAAGTTTGCATTCCCATTTGGGCCATCTTTGCGGTTAAGCCCCTGGAGGGATTTCCCTCACTGAGCTTTACACCTGAGACAGGCCCACCCTGTCCCGCATCTCCCCCTGGCCTCCCTGGGCACCCTGCTTGATGCTGCATTCGCTTATATTTCCATTGCAATTGCTTATACTTCTGCCTTTGAGAAGTGCTAATGCAGAGGGGAGGAGGCAGGCAGCTGGGGAAAGTCTGTCCCCATCCTGTGCTCCCTGTGGAGGGACAAACCCCACCTGAGACCGGTCTCTACTACAGGGAGCCATGTCTCCGGGAGCTGAAGCGTTAGACTAAACTCCAACTGGACACGAGCTGTGACAGGAGATTAAACCGCCCATTCATGTCTGTGCCCAAGAATAAACTCCTTTCCTTAGAGAAATCCTTAGGGCCAGCCAGGCTTCGTTATCTGCCTGGCAGCATTCAAGGGGCTTTTGGGGGAAATCCTGTTATGCGCTCTCCTCACCAGGGCTCATCCCACGGGAGCCGATTTGGGAACAGATGGAGGGGTCTGGCCTATTAGCCACGACTGCTCCAGCTCAGCCAGGCTGTGGGTAGGCACAGGCAGCTGCATGCTCCCGTGCCCCATTGCTAGTGGCTGACGCATCACTTGGAGTCCACAATTTGGAGATTCCCATCACCCCTCTATGCCGGCTGGTGGCTGCGGCCAATGGGTCCCCTGGGTGCAGGACAGAGGCTGGAGGAGCCCCATGCCAGCAGGTCTCAGCCCCAGCCTGGGGATGGGGGGGCACCGTGGGGGGCGGCTCAGGGTGGCCTTGCAGGTGGTCTCCCATGCAGGGGATAAATGGGATGGAAAGGGGTAACGCTGCGTTACCTTTGCCCAGGGGGGTGGCACATCCCTGCTGCGTCTGGCTTTGCAACGAGAGACAAGCAGGTACAAAGCAAGGGATTAGGAAGAGTCCCTGGAAAGGAAACTGACTGTGGCTGTAGGCACAGGCAGCTGCATGCTCCCGTGCCCCATTGCTAGTGGCTGACGCATCACTTGGAGTCCACAATTTGGAGATTCCCATCACCCCTCTATGCCGGCTGGTGGCTGCGGCCAATGGGTCCCCTGGGTGCAGGACAGAGGCTGGAGGAGCCCCATGCCAGCAGGTCTCAGCCCCAGCCTGGGGATGGCGTGGGTCACTGGGGGGCGGCTCAGGGTGGCCTTGCAGGTGGTCTCCCATGCAGGGGATAAATGGGATGGAAAGGGGTAACGCTGCGTTACCTTTGCCCAGGGGGGTGGCACATCCCTGCTGCGTCTGGCTTTGCAACGAGAGACAAGCAGGTACAAAGCAAGGGATTAGGAAGAGTCCCTGGAAAGGAAACTGACTGTGGCAGATAAATACAAATGAGGCGCTCTGAGGGGTTTTGGTAATATTGAACAGGCTGTAAATAAATTGTAGGCTTTAAGCGTTATTGACAAATGAAAATTTACTGGGTACGTTCAAGCAAGCTAATGGGTTGCTTTAAACCCTGGCAGTGCCTTGCTAAGCATTTTGTATCGCGCTTTTTAATTTTGGTTCGCCGTGGATTAATTCCCATTCAGAGCAAGGCAGCCCTGAGTCAACAGAATTAAATGGTTTAATGTATTTGGATTCAGAAATGCTGCCCTCCCCTAATTTCTCTCCCTGTTCCCCCCCTTCCCCAGGAGGAAGCTCTTCATTAGGCATCAGCTGCAGCAGGTGACAGTAAGAGAAACTCCTCCCCCAAAATCACATTATCTCAGAGAAAAGCAGGGATTTCAAGGTAGATGAATTTATATGGGAGAGAAAGAAAGCAGAGCAAGCCCATGAGGTTTGGTAGAGCAGCTTTCTGATGGGGAGGGGGTGCAGCTCTGTCAGGGGAACCCCTAGAAAACCACCACGAGAAGGTGGCAGAGCCATGAGAGGGACGAGGGGGCCATGTTTCTCCCAAACCCCAGGTTTCCCTGAAGCACAGCAGGTCCCACAGGCACCTTCCTTCTGCCTGTCCTGACATTTTCCCCCTGAAATCAGAATTTTGCTCCCATTTTCCCATCCCACAAAAACAACTTGAGGTATTCTGCAGAGCACCAAAGGCACAAGTAAATATGCTTAATACTATAAAACATTGAATCAGGCAATCTAATTTCCTAATAAAGAGCCAGGTGCATTCAGCCAGGAGCATGAAACATGCCATAAAGTGCATGAGCAGAGGCACTGGCAGAGCCAGAATCAACCCCCACAGGCTCTGCACCATATCAGACATGCCCTGACACTCACATAAATCCAGGTGCAGAGGCCAAACTGAACCACACAAGACCCAATCCTGAGAGCAGCCCCACAGCAAGGGGCAGTCAGGCTCAAGCTATGTCTTTAACACTTTCCTGCTATTTTTTAGAGATCCAAGCTGTGTCTTTTTGAGCCCCAGAAGGAAGGAAATTAGAAGTCTCATGCAGATAGAGCAGAGCTTTAATTGCAGACACAGACATGCCATCAGGGTTCAGAGCTGGGCTAATTGCCACCATACATTGGAACACATGATTCCTGATGCCTGGCATCCACCCCTTAGAAAAAAGACAACATATCCACACAAATGACAAGAGGATGATCCCTAATGAAAGGGTAAATGAGCAGCAGAGCAACAGGGAAAGGAGGAAGGATAAAAGACAGAACATTTGCTCAGCTCTTACACCCTACAAGCAAAGTCAAAGCTGCCCCAGAAAGATTAGAGATGGGGCTCACTCCCTAAGCGTAGTGCCAGCTCACTAAAATTAAATATCTGCTATGATACCTCCTCCCAAGCCTGCATAGCAGCACCACCAGAGAGGCTAGGATAGCCAAGCTGGCCCCATTTATGTGTGGCTCAGCAGGGCGGCCCCAACCCCCAGCTGCAGCCCATCGCTGCTGATGGAGAGGGGCCCTGGGGCTAACCCCAGGAACAGGGGAGTGCAAATGGGTGCACAGCTGAAATCCTGCCACAGTCATTTTTCAGCAAAAGTCTCTTTGCTGGCATTTTAAAGATAGGAGTTAATTCTGGGGAGAAATGTCTCCTGCCGTATGGGGCTGTGGGGGAAGGGCAGGGGATGTTCTTCAGGGCTGGCTGTGCCTGTACAACCTCTCTGGTGGCTTCCAGGTGCTGTGGCAGGGGGCTGGGGTTTATAGCTGGACATTACAGATTGCCTCTGCAAAGCTCTCAGACCAGTTTTTGAGCAACTGCCAGTGGTGAAGCTGCTGGAAGGAGCATGGGGCCACCACAGTGTCTCAGGCACCGGCTTACCAGTCAGTGATGCCCTGGGGAGCCCCGAGGCCCCGCTCCGAGCTGTTGCAGCCCACACAGTCCCCAGCAGTGCCACTGCATTAGGGGAGTGTCCTGAAGGCCAGGGGTGCCAAGCGCCAAAGCAGCCTCTGCTGGGTTTCCAGCATGGACTGTGTCTGCTCCCCGGCCCGAGAGCATCTGCTCTCCCATGGGAATGGCCTTTCCAAGGGAGTGAGGCTCGCTACCGGTGGAAACTGAGATTTGAGCCGAGGCTGAGTAAACCCCATCAAACAGCAAATCTGGGCAGCTTTCTGCTTTTGGGGCTTGTGGGACTAAGGGAAGGATTATGGGTCTGCTGTTGGATTAAGCTGCTGGCAACCGCGCTCTGGCACCAAAGCAGATTGCATCTGCTGCTTAGGAAAAGCAACAAGTCTTCGTAGGCGGGCAGCAGGGACTAGCAGCTTCCCTCCACAGCTCCTTTTGCTACCCTAAAAGCCTCAATAAAAACCAGGACTGTGTTGCTTTTTGGAAGCTTTTCACCATGCCCTTTTCAGGCAAAGGGCTCTTGCTTTGCAGGCGAGTGCTGGCCGATCCATTGGTGGTTAGTAACTGGATGCACCCCCAGCCGCCCATGGCTGCTGGTCCTTTCCCTGGTCTCCAAGACGCGCCTGCGAAACGGCCTGGCAGGAGGAGGCTGCAGAGCTTTGCACCTCAGCGAGGGCACAGGCACAGTCAAGCGTGAGGGAAGCCTTCGGGGAGAGGTTTGCTTTCACCCCACGCTGCTCTCTGTCTAATCCTACCACCATCAACTCTGAAGACAGCTGAAGACAAGCCCAGTGCTGAGGGCAAATGATCCTGACCTGCCTGTGCCTTTCTAAGGCTCTTTTGGTTTCAAAGAGCAATTTCCCAGCGTCGCTACGACAGAATCAGAACAGTCATAAGACTCCAGCAAGACAGGCAGAAACCCCCAGTTATGCAATTCCCTTACTTAGCCGCACTTTAATCCCAAGTTTCATGGTAGTCCCAAGAGCTTCTTCCTGCAAAATTTGATTGCATTCTGCAGCCAAGGTCCCTCTTGCTGGCAGAAGCAGCACGGTGGCATTACAGAGCTGGTCTCAGCTTTTGGTTAGTTAAGCAGCAAAGCAAAATGCAGGAGACCTTGTGCTTTTTTAAGTACCCTGTGACTACTTAAGACACTGATCATCAGGTAAGAACACATAAAGAGGGAGAATCGTTCCTTTTCAGATCAGTGTGAATCTTTTAAATGCATCACATCCCAAGGACTGAAAAGCAACCCAGGTTAAAATGGGCTGTGCCATTCCCCTGGGAGTGCTGCAGGACGGGTGGGAGGTTTGCCCCAGCCTTGAGATGCAGGCACATGCTGGGGGGCA